GCATTCCAAGGTAAAATTACATTTTCAAATTTATTTTGCTACAATTTTGTGTCAATTGCTGTTCCCAAAGCAAGAATCATAGATTGTATTGTGTCACCTTTTATTCACAAGATTCACTTTCTTACTGCCTCAATGCGTTTTACAGTGATTATTACTGCATTGATGGATCTAACAATGAATTTAAGAAAGTTACTCATTAAAAANTAACTGTTTTATCCAGTAACCTGTCTTGATACAGTGAAAGATCATTTTCACTTGATCCAATTATCTCATCATTAGATTCTCCATTGTCTGATATATATTGTACAAGTAAGAAACTACCTGTTCATCAGAGAATTGATTGCTAGTGTTCACAAAACCTTTTATTCAAGGGAATCCTGTAAAGAGAGCGCTACAACGAGTTGCCAGGAATCTCCTGAAGTCATAGGTGATAATGCAGTGTATGAAGACAAGCGCTTAATTGTTCATAGATTTTATTTAGGGGATGGGGATTCAAATTTTGATGGCCACTAAGTAGATTGTAGTGGCCATCAGCTTATGTGTTTTATTTAAGAACTGCCTGCGTTTTGTCAGTATTCCACTTAGCATTATCTTGTTGTCCAATGTAATGCTGAAAATTGAGCCAATTTTGCCACTTAAAATGAATTGGTAGTTATTTTAACAATCTGAATTAGCTGGTAAATGTCAATAAGCATAAAATGGCATAAATGTGCTGGAAATGCAGAAAATGAATGGGTTGTGTGACATTTGGCAAATGTCACACAAAATGTCACTACGTAATACTAGTTCCACACAGGCAGCTTTAGAAATGTTTAATACTGTGTGACCACCACCAATAGTAATGTGGATAATTTATAGTAAGGTGGTTGTGACAAAATAGACCGTGATTAATAAAATAACATAGGTATGCAGAGATTAAAAATAAAGAGCTGATATATTCATGCCTGTTTTACGAAACAGTTCAACAATTTTCAAATTTAATGGGTAATAAATACCATACCGGCATAAAATTTAACAAAGAGTAGAGTGGAAAGTCTGCATGAAATTTACTCTGAAATGTTTGCATGAAAGGATCAATAAATTTAGTGGACTAACTAATCAGTAATAATCCTTGCATTTGATATAGCACCTTTCACATCAGGAGGATCCTTCACAAGATTTATTATAAAGTGTAGTGACTGTATATTTTGCAGGCAAACTTAGAAAATAACAATAACAACATTACATTTGTAAAGCACCTTTCATGTTGGGAGGACACCCCAAAGTGCTAGACCCGAGCTGGAGGTTGTGTTCGGGGAGGGTGGAGGGCAGGCGGGGAAGGAGGGTGACCGAAGGCATGGTTGAAGAGGAGAGTCTTGAGACAGGTCTTGATGGAGGCAAGGGAGGGGGCAGAGTGGAGGGACTGCAGGATGGAGTTCCAGAGGGTGGGGCCAGAGTGGCTGAAGGCCCGCCTGCCAATGATGGGGCGAGCGAGGTGGGGGATGTGAGGCAGGCCGGAGCATACTGAGTGGAGAGAGCAGGCAGGTTGTAGGGGTTTAGGAGGTCTAAGGGGTAGGGGAGAGCAAGCCTTTGGATGGCTTTGAAGGTGAGAACCAGGATCTTGAACTGTATTCTCTGTGATGGGAAGCCAATAGAGTCGGGCAAGGATGGGGGTGATAGGTTTGTGGCGTCTTGCTCTGGAGAAGACATAGACTGCAGAGTTCTGGATGATCTGTAGCCTATGGAGGGAGGAGTTGGGGAGGCTGACATGCAGAGAGTTTGCATAGCCAAGCCTGGATGTTATGAGTGCGTGCATGAGGGTCTCGGCGGCCTGCGGTGTGAGACAGCAGAGCTAGGCGATGTTGCGGAGGTGGGGAAAGGCAGAGCGGGTCATGGCACGGATGTGGGTAGAAAGGATAGTTGAGGGTCAAACAAAACTCCAAGATTCCGGACTGGCTTACTGAGGTGGAGTATACAACCATGGATGGTGATACTATCAGCGCCTGAGGTGTGGAGGCGCTGATGGGAGCCAATCAGGAGAGCCTCCGTCTTATTGACGTTCAACTGGAGTCCTGTAGCTCAGTGGTTAGAGCACTCGCTTTGCAAGTGAAAGACCTGAGTTCAATTCCAGGCAGGGCGAAACCTTGGGCAAGTTTCCTTACTCCACACGCCTAATAATAATCCCTCCAAAACAAAACAATAATAAATTGGTCATTTTCAATCCACGACTGTTTGTGGGACATTGCTGCCGCGTTCGCCCACAAAAATATACAGTCAATTCACTTTACAGTGTGTTCTGTGAAGCGCTTTGGGATGTCCCCCCGATGTGAAAAGCGCTATATCAAATGCAAGGATTATTATTATTATTATTATAACTAGCATTTAGCTCTCATTCAGGACTTGACGTCTGACAGACATTCTATCAGGACAGCAGTGGTCATGGAGTTGAGGGTGGAGTCAGAGAGATAGAGTTGGGTGTCATCCCCATACATGTGGAAGTTGACCCCATGTCTGCAGATGATGTCACCAAGAGGGAGCATATAGATATCGTAGAGGAGGGTACCAAGGACAGAGCCCTGAGGAAATCCGCATGAGATGGTGCAGGGCTAGAGAAGTTGTTGTTTGTGGAGATGAAGTAGAGACGGTGTGAAAGATAGGATCTGAACCATTCAAGGACAGAACCATGAAGATTGAGGTGAGAGGAGAGGAAATGGAGGAGGATACAGTGGTCAATGGTATCCAAGGCAGCAGAGAGGTCAAGGAGGACGAGGAGGCAGAGAGAGCCCCGGTGGCAGATCGACAAATTTGTCACTTTGACCAAAGCTGTTTCTGTGCTGCAGGTGGCACAGAAACCCAATTGAAGGGGTCATAAAAGAAAATGTGCATATAAGGCATGCATAAATAGTCAATGCAATGTTTTATATAAGGCAATATTGACCATGTGCTTACATTAACAGCTCTAGCTACTGAGTACAATACCTGCACGTAACAACCGACTTTTTATGTATTCCATAAAATCCCAAATTCGGTTGCTCGATCACAAATGGCACAAAACCAGTACCACGGTTCACCGCCAGGTGTTGTTCGAGCATCTCCATACCTACCCCCACTCCCTCTCGCAAGCCAAAACTGTAATCTACTCGCAGGTTCATTCTGGAGGCCAAAAACAACTCCAAAATCCTATTCCCCACCACCTCAGCGCCCCATCAAGCACCCTCAATCCTAACATCAAATGCCAAGTGCAAAGAGGTCTTGGATTTCTATGTCTCCAAGATAGATATTCCAGGCAGGGTGAAACCTTGGGCAAGTTTCCTTACTCCACACGCCTAATAATAATCCCTCCAAATCCCAAAACAATAATAAATTGGTCATTTTCAATCTACGACTGTTTGTGGGACATTGCTATGCGCAATTGGCTGCCGTGTTCGCCCACAAATATACAGTCAATTCACTTTACAGTGTGTTCTGTGAAGTGCTTTGGGACGTCCTCCCGACGTGAAAAGTGCTATATCAAATGCAAGGAATATTATTATTATTATTATTATAGATCGCAACCACCTGGCCGTCCTCTGGATTTGTCTGTTGTGTTCGACAGTCGACTACGCCATCCTCCTCCACTGCCTCTCCTCCCTCATCCACCTTAGTGGGACCGCACTCGCATGATTCGAGTCCTGCTTAAACGATCGCCAGCACTTTATCTTGGCCAATGGTTTTTCCTCCCGCTCAGCCCGGTCACCTGTGGGGTACCCCAAGGCTCCATCCTTGGCCCCTCCTTTTCCTCATCTATATGCTCCCACTTGATGATGTCATCTTCAGACATGGGACAGAGTAAACTTCCACAATTATGCGGATGATACCCATATCTACTTCTCCTCCTCCAGCTGCGATTCCCAGTCCCCGAATATCCAGTCAGCTTGTTTGACAGCCATCAAGAGCCTGGATGAGCGCAAACTTCCTGCAGTTGAATGTCAGCAAGACGGAAGCCATACTCTTTGGCTCCCATCAACATCTTCTCACCTGCGAGTCTGAACTCCTCAACCTCCCCGTACCCCCATCACACCAATCCTAGCTGTTTTCAGATGCCATGTAAAACTGAGGTCCGGTCTACCTGGTCAGGTGGACGTTAAAGATCCCATGGCAACTATTTGAGAAGAGTTTCTCCTGACAAACAGTCCCCCAAATAAAATTGGTCATTCAGTGATAACTGTTTGCTGTGTGTAAATTGGCTGCCACATTCGACTATAAAATATATATTATTCTTTACAGTATATCCTGTGAAGCATTTGAGACATCCAGCTGACATGAAAGTTACTACATCAAATGTAAAGATTATTATTACTGCAATGGTGAAATGAAAAAGACAACAAAAAGACAACATTGGTGGGTGGCCTTAAGGTGTGTGTTTACTGTACTACACATACAAAGAAAATGTAGGAGGCACTTATACTCCTAGGATGGCATAGAACATGTTGAGGAAGAAGTTGAAAGAGACTTAAGGGTGTTAGATGACTCGTCTCTCACAATGGCAAACAATGCAAGGCAGCCATAAAGACAAACAGGCTGCTGGGCTATGTATTGCTATTTGACAAGTAGATATATTTTAACTAGTGTTACATTCAAGGTGCCCTTCTGAACTCCCCATGAACCAATGATCAAACCTGAATCCTGATGGGTCTATGGCTCAGTGGCCACAGCCAAAGGAGTTGAAGAATAAATTTTTAAACAAGTACAGCATATCTGTCTGTCAATACACTGGCTTCCAGCAGCGCTATGTTGATTATGCACAAACAATGAAAGGCCAGGAATCTGATCTCCTTCATATTTTCCAAGGATATTGTTTCAAAATAAACTTAGGTAAGGTTTTTCTGTACACTCTGTCACACACTCGGCTGCAGATCTGGGATACGGCAGCACCACGGCACAAGATATTTGTGCCGAGCCAAGATATTTGTCTGGCAATAATTAGGCTCATCATTGCCATGTCTCCCATCCGCTTAAACATCATTTCCATTCAATTACAGCTGCAGAAACTGAAGCGATCGCTGTCGTTCAAGACAAAGAGTCTGAGGAGTAAAAGCGCTGATAATTTCTTTCATCGAACGGGCAGCGAGACAAAGCTTCAGGTGGAACTACTGCCTGGAGTTAGCTCCAGCACCGGACAGCTCCCAGGCTCAGAGAGTCAGACATCCACCCCAACCAAAACCCAAAGGCAATCTGAGAACAGGACGCATTCCTTCCAGGAATACATCTTCAAGAAACCAACTTTCTGTGATACCTGCAACCATATGATCGTTGGTAAGAAATCTCTTTCTGTCAGTCCTATGTTTAAATAAGTGTAAAGTCATTCATTTGAAATTCATTTAATGATTCGTGTTGCACAAGAAGCTCATTGGGAACATCTGAAGCAGTTGTTAGTAGATGTTATTACCCTCCCTTGGAATGATCTTTACTCCCCTATAAGTTATAATGGAAATGTATTGCCTCCTGGCCAATATTTCTAGCTGGTCCAAATCCACCCTAAAAATGTAATTAATTTGACTACTTATCCCAGAGCTGTTTGTGGGATGTTGTAGGCACAGATTGGCTACTGCGTTTGCCTAAGCTAGCTTCCATTTCCTTAGCATAGAAAAGCCTCAGGCAGCCTGCAATGGGCAAACAGTTTTGAGTCTTCAGTGTTAAGGCTGAGTTTTAACCATTCAGAGTACAGAGGGTGAGTATATACACAGATTTAATTCAGTGCCTAGCTACTGAATTCTACAAATACACAGAAAAAAAAGGAGAAATACACCTAGGAACAGGAGTAGGCCATTCAGCCTGTTGAGCCTGTTCCGCCATTTAATTAGATTATGGCTGATCTATATCTTTACTAGAATTTCAAATCCAATTTTTTTTGCTTTCTCCCCGTATCCCTTAATACCGCGACCTACCAAAAATCTGTCAATCTCTTTCTTGAATGTGTGGATGGATCCAGCATCCACCACCTTTTGGGGGAGAGAGTTCCAGATTTCTACCACCTTTTGAGTGAAAAAATGCTTCCTAATTTCACTCTTAAATGGTCTGGTTCTAATTTTAAGACTATGCCCCTTGTTTTGCATTCCCCCAACATAGGAAATAGTTTTTCTGCATCTACCCTATCAAATCCCTTTATCATCCTAAAAACCTCAATCTTCTAAACTTGAGGGAATACAATCCAAGTTTACGCAGCCTTTCCTCGTAACTTAACCCTTTTTGGCCTGGTAACATTCTGGTGAACCTGCTCTGCACCCAATATATCTTTCCTGTGGTGTGGTGCCCAAAACTGAACGCAGTACTCCAGGTAGGGTCTGACTAAAGCTCTGTACAGCTGAAGCATCGTATCTTCCCCTTTGTATTCCAGGCCTCTCGAGATAAAATCCAACATACCATTTGCCTTTTTGATTTTGCACCTGGGAACTAGTTTTTAGTGATTTGTGGATATAGACACCCAAATCTTTTTGCTCTTGCACAGCTCTTAATTTCTCCCCATTAAGAAAGTATTCTGCCCTATCTTTTTTCGGTCCATAGTGGATGACTTCCTACCTCTGTAACTTCCTACTCCCATCTTCACTACTTGCTGAGCCTCTTATCTTAGTGTCATCCGCAAACTTGGATATAAAACTTTCTATTTCTTCATCCATGTCATTTATGTATATGGCAAAAAGCTGAGGTCCCAGTACAGACCCCTGGGGGACACCACTTGTCAAGTCCCCCCAATCAGAGAATGTTTCCTTAATCCCTATCCTCTGTTTTCTGCCTCCCAACCAATTGCAAAGCCACGTCACAAGATTACCTCCGATTCTATGCGCTTCTCTTTTTGCTAATAATAGTCCCAATAGCGTAGTGGTTTGCGTGCTCGCCTTGCAAGCGAAGACCTGGGTTTGAATCCGGGTGAGGCGAAACCTTAAGGAAATTTCCTTATTCCACACAGCTCTGTTTACCTACCAGTAAGTAGGAACCTGGATGTTAGTTGATCAGTAGATCCTTTCAAAGAAAAAATAATAATTTGGTCAGTCAATCCGCGACTGTTTGTGGGACACTGCTATGTACAATTGGCTGTCGTGTTTCACCCACAAAATATACAGTCAGTTCACTTTACAGTATGTTCTGTGAAGCGCTTTGAGATGTCTCAATGACATGATAAAATACTATATAAATTCAAGGATTATTATCAAGTATTATTAATAAAGGGGACAAATACCGCCAAAAATCTAAGAAAACAGGATTCACTTCAGAATACGCTGACTGTTAGTGTGCTGTCATGGTGTGGATAAAATGATTCTGTAATCCACTTTCCCCATTTGGAAAAAAATGACTGGTTCATAACTTGTTTTGTTTTTGCAATGGCAGCACAGTCAAACAGATTATTGTAGATTATACCAAGTCCATTTGTGAATCACTGTCGCTCATAGCCAGTTATAGTAGGTGAAGTGAAGCACAGTTGAAGACTTGGCTGTTTTTCACAGAGAGAGGTCAGAAGCATCATGCAGTCTGCAATAGCAAAATCAGTCTTAGTTGGTCATTACTCCTTAGCCAGAGAAACTAAGCTCTGAAATTCCTCATGGTATTAACCTCAAACCCCTTGTTGGAAAACTTAGGGTCACATGGAATTTTGGAAAATGTTTAAATTTAATTTTAAATTAGTAGCTGATTTTCCACAGCTCTTTTTAAGAGCTTTGATATTACATTTCTGTATGATCTTTAAGACAATGGTCTTAAGGCTAAGACTATGATCTGGCTCCTTGGCTTAACAAATTAGTTGCCAAAATCTTCAAGAGGTCAAGCATGAAGTCTGACAAAATATTATTTTAATCCTAAAACCACTCCAAGCATGGTTTCAGTGCCAGTTTTAGCTGAAATAGTGGCAGTATAAACATTCTTTCAGTGTAATAACAGAATAAAACAGCTGCTTCATCAATGTCATAGCTGTAGGAAAATCATGTTCTTGTGTCCTTGTGCACATTACAACACAAAGAGCATAAACATAGCTGCACCAACATTGAATCCGGATTGCTCACAACCTTATCTGGCTGCTTTATTACAACTGGAATAATGTACACAGAGCAGTTCATCTCCATCGCAGGGTGGATTGCATTGGAATTGCCCTGGATGCTAATCTAGCTAAGACTTAAGGTCTTTTTCAGTGCACAGCCAGCACCATATGCACTGACATCTAATCTTCTGCCTCTGTTGCATTATATTGTGACATGTTATGGCCTCTGGCTGAAACCTGACACAAAGTCAGCATATAAGCCTAGTATTTAGCACAGTAGTCAATATCATTTATTGTACCTCCCAAGTAAATCTCCTAATTGTTTTCTTGCTAAATACTTGGTTACATAAATATAATGTGATCCAAATTTGCCAGAAAATCAACTTGTCACTGGGTTTATCTTGAATACTTTCACCTTTTCTGGATTTTTTAAAAGTTAGTGGCAATGGAATTCAATTCAGTTGACAAATGGAGGTTGCAAAGACGTTTTAAAAAATGATAATGTAATAACTTGGTCACTCTATCCACAGCTGTTTGTGGGTCACTGATGTGCACAATTGGCTGCCGTGTTTTGTCTACAAAATATACAGTCAATTCACTTTACAGTATATTCTGTGAAGCGCTTTGAGATGTCTCAAAGACTTGATAAGGTCTTATATCAAATTCAAGAATTGTTATTATGTATAAAAAATAATTGTTTTGACCCAAATGAAACAATATATCTTTAAAATCTTCATTAAAATTTTAGGAAAGAGGAAATCATTCTGTTCATTGTCTTAAGATTTAAGATTGTTTTCCAAAATTTTACACAATTTCCAATTCAAAATTCAGTCTTTACTTGGATGCAGTTTTTCTGTGATCCCCTATAAAAGAATGATGCAAATCGACTTCTGGATCTACGACTCTTGCAAAATTTCACATGATCTTAAACATTAAGACAATGGTCTTAAGCCTAAACGCATGAGACATTCAGGCCTCGAGTTTTGTAAATGTTTTTGTTTGTACTAAATCATCATGCAATTTATCCAAGCAACTAGAAATAGAGTAGGATGAAAATGAATGGTTTCAATTTAGAGCAGTCATACACTCCACCATAGTGGGTTTGTTTTCTCCCACGCTCCTGTGTTCCCGGCCCTGATACATCTCTATGAAAAGATGCTGTTCCCTTCAGGGAACTAAACTGAGCTGAATGTTGATAGAAAATAAAATCTTACTCTCCAAATACACTATGGGTCAAGAATTTAAAGCCAAAGGTACCAAATAGTTTTTAAATAGCTTTCAGCTATGGGCGGTGAGTGCCGAGCTTTTTGAGTCATAGAAAATGACCATCTGAAGCCAGAAATGTATATGTTTATAACTTTGTGGTCAGTTTTGTCATAATTTTAAGATTTTGAAGATTCTTAAATTCAGTCTTAATTTGGGAGTTAGTTCTTAAACTGGGCTGCGTGAAAAACAGCTTCCAAACTGGTTCAGGCTGGTTTTTGGATGATTTCCCCAAATTCGGCACAAACGTAAAATTTTAGTCTTAAGGTTACAACTGTGATACCAGGTTACAATTATAATATATGACTCAACAGCCTGAATTTAAGAATCATCAAAATCTTAAAATTATGACAAAACTGACCACAAAGTTATAAACATATACATTTCTGGCTTCAGATGGTCATTTTCTATGACTCAAAAAGCTCGGCACTCATAACTTTACTCATAATAATAACAATAATCCTTGCACTTGAAACGTCTCAAAGCGTTTCACAGTATATACTGTAAAGTGGATTGACTATATATTGTGGGCGAAATGCATAGGATACTGACATACTAATGCTTAGGCCAATTTCTGCATGGAATTGACAAAGAGGTTGGTTTTCAACCATAGAAATTTACTTTCAGAGGGAAATTTGCTAAATTAAGGTTGAATATAAATAATTTTTGGCAGCCTTTCTTGGGAATGTTCAACATCATGGGATCGAATTTCCATCCAGTACTTTATACTAAAATTAAATAAGATTGATAGAGTAATTTGGGGAATGCAATAAATGAAGAGGTGCTAAACGTACATTGCTAAATTCCAAAGTCCACTTTTTGAACTACACAGAAGGTAAACCCATTAGACCATCTTAACTGCTTGGAATGACTGGCCATTTAGTTTACTAGTTGATTTCTGTACCTTTGAACAGCTTTAACACCAACATTTATTTATGGCTTTTAACTTAGCTGTAGGCATGGATACAAACTTGGGCACACACTTGTCAGCTTGGAAAATAATTACAATTGTGAATAGTTTCTT